GGCGAGAAGTTTGCCCTCAGCGTAAACTTAAAAAACACGTAGTCCCGCAGCGGCGGTGGTTTCTGGCCCTGCGCGTAAATGACCGGCATTGGCATCCGCATCAGCGGCGACATGGAGACGTTGAAGACTGAGATGATGGGTGATACATTTTTTGGGCCCAGCGGTGAGAAGCTGCTGGCCACAACGATGAGCAAGCCTACAAAACCCACCGACACTGACATCGTCAGAATCTCCAGGACACGCTGGGAGACGCTGTGCATCTTCTCCCCTTCTTTCGTCGCTTCACCTACCCCAAGGCAATCGACCTTCTCCTACTCCAAATTCCTGCTTTCCTCTTCCCGCGTCGCCTCCCCTTCCCCGCTCCCTACAGAGTAAGCCCCCCCCCCCCCTCCAATGGCCGAGAGAGACGAGAATGACGAGAGAAAAAAAAGGTGGTAAATGGATTCAGTGGATTCCGTCCAATGATGCTTTCTGCATGTGTGTCTCCGCCCATGGTGTTTGTCTTTTTTTTTCTCTTGGTGGGAAAGATGGGCTTTGTCGCCCTTTTCTCGTTGCCCCTTTTCTCTTTTCCCCCCATTTTTTTTTTCCTTTGCAGGGGCATATATAGTTTATGTATATATATATTTTTTTTCTTCATTTGTTCTTGAGCAGTTCTCCACTACGCAGTGTTGTCTGCGGGCAAAGAAAGAGTGTGTTCCGCTGCTTGAATGTAATAAAAAGAAAAAATGAGGAGGTGTTGCTCGAGCGTATTTCTGTTCTCCTACTCTTTCCCTTCCTTTCCATATATATTTATATCACTCTTCATTCTTTTCTTGCTTTCTTCTCTGAGCGTGAGACGCTCAATGCGTAAGAATCCTTCACTAGGGGCCTTTTTACGGCCGCAGCAACGCAGGGAGCGCGACGAACGTCTCTTTGACCACGACTCTTTCGACGAGAGGCAATGGAGCGGACAGCATGAAATGGGGCACCGTGGCGGTGTTGCGAGTTGGGACAGGCACGACAGCGCCTACACGTCGTATGCGGATTATGATGGCGGGGCCTACGAGCCAGGGGCTCCGCGGGTGAGCGACACGCTGCAGCCCCGGTTGGTGAATGACATAGGCCTGCAGCGGGCGTTGAAGCGACCCAGCATGAGAAGTTCTCGGGTCCTCGCACACGCCATGGATGGAGCGAGGCGGGAAAGAGAAAACGTCGGACAACCGAGAGAAGAGTGGAGGGAAACGCGATTCTCTCTCAAACCTTACGAGAACCTTGACAGTAGAGGCGGTCGTGACGCTGTTGCTCCCCAGGGCGATATCCATGAGGAGCATGCCGAGCATGCCCGCCATGGCTGGGAACAACATACACCGTCGGTTGTTGGGGAAACTGTGTACTCGCCCCGGCCATTGGTGGATGTGTCCGCGGCGTTTGGGCGCATGAGTAGCAGCACGTTGGACCATATGAGCAATGTTGGCCGCAGCCAAAACGCGTCAGCGACAAACAGGGCGGCGCCATCACTATCGCCATTGCCGTCAGCGCCATCGCACGGGACAGCGGACGCATCAATTGATCTCAGCAGGGCTCGTGAGTCGATAAATTTGGAGGGAGTAAACGCTACAACAAAAACCACGCCACCGCGTCTACACATTGAGCAACCCTCAGCAGAGATTAGTACGCAGGATCGGTACCGCGGGTGGAAAGCTTCAATGTGTGAGAATGAAAACGTTCTCGCCGGAAGTTCATGGACTCCCGTGTACGGCCCAGATGGCTTCTCTGTCATTCAGTCAACTCTACCCGACAGTGGAGCTGTGGGGCAATACCAGAACCCCAACGCCGCGGCCGAGCGCATCCTTTACGCACTGTTGCAACAAAATGAAGAATTATCAACTGTGGCGTCTCATCAGCCGAATAAATGGGGAGGAGAAAAATTGAGTTTAAGCAACGGTAAAGAAACCAGTTCGGCAATCACCGCGTTGGACCCCATGGCACGACAGCGCCTCAGTTTACACGTGACGCCTCAAGAAAGCCGTCTTGTACTTAGTCTTGTGCGGGAAAAGGACCGAGAGATCCTGCGGCTGCGTAGCTCTCTGGCTACCAGTTATCGTTTTGCTGCTTACGCTGCGTACCGGCAGTATCCGTCAGTTCCTTCCGGCAAATCCAACGCTTTATTTTCAGCAATGGAATCACGTTTCTTTGGCGCGTTGGCAAGCGCAGTGAAGAACAGAGAAAGAGACCCGTTGCTTTTGGTGGACCGGGCACCCCCTCATGTGCATGGCCTCCCCAATTTACCTCTGCCACTTGGTCTTCCCTACAGCATGGCACAAGTCTGCGGAGTGCTGTCGATGATCAATGTAGCAGACATGCTTCACAAGAAAGCATCGGCTCGGTTTTTCCTGAGCTCGTGGCGCACGTACTTTGTTGTGGCCGATGACCGTGGACTTTCTGTCTACCGTAGTGAGGAGGATTACAAACGGCATGCTTTCCAGCGGACGCTGCTTGTGGTGCCCTTTAGGGACATGGAGTACTTTGTGCCGTCGTTTCGCGACGTGTCAGTGGCCGGAGAGGATCTGCTCCAGGCGGCTGAAGCATTGGGTGCCGCTCGTACGCGGCAGCAGGAGTCGGGCAGTAGCAACTTTTTTTCTTCCCTCATTAACAGAAGGAAGAAGCTCAAGGCGGAGACGACAATGAAGAATAAGAAAACTGGGGGCGTTGAAGCAGGCGAGACGGAGGATACCAGCGATGCCGTAAATTCCCAAGAAGATGAGGGCAGGGAATCACTGAATGTCCAGCGAAAGCGACCGGATCGGTACGATGAGTTGATGGCCTGCATTGCCATGCAACATGCAGGTGACACGAGTCACGCTTACTTTGGTTTCATCCCCAAACAACCCAACACACAGAGCGGCGGCAAGGTAGTGAATCCGCCCGTTCTTTTCCGTACACAAAGCACACAAGAGCACATGGAGTGGGCACATTACTTTGCGCAGTGCTTCAACAGGAAGTTGTACCGCGAGATGTTCCCCACCGCCCTCGCTGAGACGTATGCGGGGAGTCTCTCGAGGGAGACCCAAACAGTTTTCGACACGACGGACACTGCAGCTTTAGAGGGCCATGATGTAAATGAATGTAAGAAGAGGGAACCCATGGTGGCATCCAGGGAGGTCATGGCAATGGTTCAAAGCGCGGAGGCGGCGGCACAGACCACTCCACGTGAGAAGAATGATGAAGCCACGAATACAGAAGAGGAACAAGATGTAGCGGGACTCTCGTGTATTGTGACCCCGCCGCCTCCTCCCACTAGCCCACCAAGACGCAGCGTTATTGGAACTCAGGAAGCGTCTGGAAGCGTCTACGAATCGGTAGAAGAGGAGGGGGAATCTGAAATCAAGTCAAACGCTATGGCAACAATGGAGAGCGCTTTAACGGGGGAGGTGGGCAAAGATGTGCCATGGAAGGAGCTTGTCACTGAGCTGCGCCGGCTACTGGACACCAAAAACACGGAACGCAAGGAACTTCAAGAGGAGTGTGAGGAGTTGCGTCTTCGCGTGCGGCAGTTGATGCGGGAGCTGCAGCAATTGAAAGATGATCGTGAAAGTCTTCTCAAGGAGTTGGAGGAGGTGCATGTGATGTATGATGCGGCGGCGCGACGAGTTGAGGAGGCGGAGCGGAGTTTCCAGTCGGCTCAAGAAGCCGCACACACTGCGGAAGCAGCCAAGCAGGAAGCTGTGACGCGTGAAGAAGAACAGGTGGCACGCGCCAACAAGTTGCGGGAGGAAATTGAATGCATGCAGCATGAACAGGAGATACTGACAGCGGAGCTTCTTGCCCTGAAGGACGGCTACAGCGAGGGGCTTCGCTGCCTTGCGAAAAAGGCCCTTGGAGATATTGATAAGCTGCACGCTGTCTGCACGGCTGGGGAGTATCTGTCCGCACTGCGGGGCGGCCATTGCGACCCACCACGCAAGGAGGATGGATGGCTTTGCGCCGAGAGAGGAGAGGGCAACGCGAGCCGTGTTGGCAGCAACGACCACATTATGAGCCCGCAGCAACAAGGACCGTCGCAGCCCCCGCATGCGCCGCCACCCGCAACTTCATTGCATCAACCACTTTTTCATCCGCATCGAAAGAAGCAGCAGTGTGACCCGATGCATGTGCGTTCTGCCTCTGAAAACTCAAATGTGCCGCAACATGCCTCTGCGGCGAAAAAGACGTCAGACAATTCAGCGCACGCGGATGCGGGGGAAGGTTTTCTGGGCATTGCTATGTTGCTGATTTCTTTTATGCCCCAGCACATGGCTATTGATGGGTGCTTCACAGTTGACGAGTCGCAGGCACGCCTGTTGCGGAGCGGCCCGTCACCAACGCAGCGTGGGCGGGAGTGGGTGATTCTTCACCATGACACAAATGCCGTGTTCTCCGTGACTGCTGAGCTGCGGACAGAAAAGGAGCCACGCCACACTGAACCGAGTAAATCACCACAAAGAAGCGTGTTGTCACGGCGTGCTCGGTTGGGTTCCTCACAGTCAGTTCACCCAAAGAGCGCGCGACGGTCACGAGAACGAATTCCTCGTGTGGCAGACGTGGAGAAAACCGCCAAACGCGCGCAGTCCACCACAGATAAGTAGTGGCATCTTCTTTTTTATTATGGTTCCTGCTTTTACGTGGGGGGGGAGGGGGGAAACGAGAAATTTCATTTACTACTCGGAGTGTATTTAGATTTGTCTCACTGTTGTGTGTGTGTGTTATTTTTGATGCATTTACTAGACAAGAATGGAGGTTTTTCTGTGAGTGTTGCTGGGCATATCAGCTTGTTTCCGCATAGCCCCTCTTGTGCAACAAAAATGCCTCTTTAACATGCATGTGCATTTATTTATTTATTTATTTTATTTGTTTATAGAGTGAAAACCACGTGGGTGTCATTTCCACCAAAATATATATATATATATATATATATTTTCTTTACGAGCGTTGAGTTTTCTTTTGGAGGCTTTATTGGGGAGTGGATAGAGGAGGAGGGAGGGGGGATTTTTCTTATGAGTTTCTCTGTTCTTTTCATCCTTGAATTCTTCCTTTCATAGCCAAGCACCCCGGCTTTGGTTTGGTCGAGATAGGAGAGAGAGTGATAGGAGAGAGAGGGTTACACGAAGAAACCAAAAAAGAGAAGAGAAAAAAAAGGGCGTGGGTGGTGGGAAGGGAGGGCGGAGGGTTTGCAACGAGGAGTTGAGCGACAATCCGCGTGTTGTGCGGCCATTATGGCGACTGGGGAGGTGCTACGCATAACGGCCCAGACGGCGTTGTTGCCTGATGGCAATTTGGAGGTTTCTGTACACAACGCCTTCGTGCCTGGAGTGAACGGCTCGGCTGTCATCTTCTCGCTTCGTTGCTCTCATCCAAAATTCTTTTCACCTCTGGAGCCCACAGTCCCCGACGGTGTTCTCCTGCCGGGCGAGCGGCGGAAAGTGCTGCTGAGCGGGCCGCCAGACGGCGCCAAGTGGAGCCGCCTCCGAAGCGACAGTCATGACGTCAACTTACGGCTCGGTTCGATAACAGAAGTTTTTCTGCGTGACGCTAACTCGGGTGTGCGAACGCATAAACCGTTGGCTCTCCCTGCGAACGGAGAGGAGGAGTCCGCGCAGAATCCGCAGCCCTTACCTCCGCAGCAGGCCACCAGCAATAGTTTTACGGATGCAGCTGTGAGTGGCGGAGATGTATCTACGACAGGGAATAGTTTCACAAACCGTTACCGGGAAAGAGGGCTGCCAAAAAGAGTGCAGCCCACCACGAGGTGTAGGGGGTCTTCCACCTCATTGCCGCGGTGTCTTCATTTTTCTTACAGCACGGAGAGTCACGAGGAGGGAGAGACTCCTTCCACCCCGAAGCGACTGAAAAAAAGAGAGGATGCTTGCACCCAGATGTCGCCTTTAATGGATCCTAAAGGACCGCTGGGTGCTCTAGATACGAGTGAAGTTTCCAAAAGCTCTCTTGCGAAAGGGACTGTCCACAGCAATTACAACAGCACAAGCGATCTTCTCTTGTCGTCCCAAAGTCCCTCTTCCACAGTAAAACCATATGAAAACAGTTTGGATTTTTTGGATTTGGATAGTAACTCGCAGCCGCCGTTTTCTATAAGCGTTGAAAACACACCCAATAGCTCTTCGCAGTGCCCTTATTTTTTCGTTTACTATGGGAAACTTGGTAGCGGAGCCAAGTACGTGAAAAATGCCATGACATGGTTAAATAGGGAGAGAGAGAAGTATGTAATTTGGCGACAAAAGGTACTGCGGTGCCTGAAGGGACGCGGTGAGAGTGAGAGCAGTTTGCCCCCTTTGCTCGGTGAGCCAGTACGGTGGCTCAAAAATATGGATGGTGCTGTTATTCACGACCAAAAATCCAAATTATACCGAAATCCGTACAGCCGAAGTTCAGCCAAAATGTTTGACAGCCATCGCCGTGGTAATGGCTGCGTCATGGTCCCCTACCGACCCTCCCATGGAGACCCTGCCTCCATCAGGGAGAGAAGCGAGCTTTCGGGTGTAGAACTCGACAAGGATCCCCTCTCACAAAACAGCGGCGGCACAAAAAAGGAAACGGGACGGCAAAATGGTTCCGAAAACATGGCTGTAGGCCATGAGAACGGTGGATGTAGTACCTCTGCTGCAGATCGGCCCACGAACACCGCTACATCCATGAACTCCCCTCCGTCACATGGCAACAACAAGTCGGGCGATGGGGTGTCAAAAACTGGAGTGTGGAGTAGAAAGCGGTCACTCGTGTCGCCCCTCGATACAAAAGTTCCCGCATCTGCGCAGCCGTTAGAAGAAAACTTGGGCGGCTGTGGAGAACTGCCATCCCTTGCAACATTTGATTGTCCCACTAACTTTCATGCCCGTACTGAGACGGAGGAAACTGTGGAGATGTTGGACCGCACTGTTTGTGGTGAGGACTACGGGGACTGTTGGAATAAACGGAAACGTAAAGGAAATTACGAAAACAAACGGCCAATTGATGCGGAACCCATCGAAGCCAACTCATCCGATATCGTGACATTTCGACATTTACGTGATCGGCGATCGAATAGTAACCTGGAAGGAATTTCTGGAGGCCTTTCGGGTCGGTGTTTGGAAAATAACCCTTCCATTGACGAGGTGCAAAGCTCCCCCGTTCTTCCGCCGACGTCAGAAAAGGAGGAGGGAAGGTCGCCACGATGTCGAGTGGAAACGAGGGAAGAAGATGAGGCTTATGTTCGGCGGAAGCAGTCCTCCTTCAATGCGCCACGCAGAGGATCCTTGAGTTTTATTGGCAAATTACCCCCTGGTGGTGAACTGAGTATCTCTCAGGTGGGTGATGCTCTCCGTAATATTGCCGTGAAGTCGGCTCCGCTGATGCAGACTGCGATGGGTGGCACGGTAAGCACCGTCGCAACGACCGCACAACTGTTTTTTGCTGTCATTGAAGATTCCATTGATATTCTCCACGCCATTTGTCTCCCCGTGCTGTCGTTGTTTTCCCTTTTCCTTCTCTGGATGGCGTTTGGATCGATGGGGGACGAAGATGGGATGATCAGCACGATGAATTTATTTGCTTAACAACGGGGAGAAAGGGAAGAATTGGCTGGAGACGTCCCACTTCAATCATACAACTGCATAGGTGATCTTGAATTTGGCGTGAATGATGCTATTGAGGCAAAGGACGAGAAAATTGGTGTGTATTTGTGTGTATGCGTGTCTTTGGAGAGGGAGGGAATGACGGATTTGTTGTTGTTTTATTTTTTTTTTTTTTTTTTGCTTTGGATTCTTTGCCTGGATAAATATGAATGCGTATACATGTATGAATGTGTCTGTACCTGAGACTGCACATGTGCACAAATGGAAATGGAAAAGAAATGAGTGCTTTTACTCTCCATATTTTCCTCTTTTGGCTACAATCGCCATCACTCAGCACATCCATCTTATGCTCGAGTTTATTTATTTGTTTGTGTGTGTGTGTGTTCCCGTGCATCGTTGCCCCTCTCTCTCTTTGTGGGTCAGGGACGTTGTATCGAAGGGGAGAGGGAGGGAAAAGAAAAAGGAAAGATGGCTGCGAGGACAACAGCAGCGGCGGATGTCCCCGCGCCTCCAGCATGCCCCATTGAGTACCCGATCGTCTTTGCGCGGCAGGGTGAGGAGGCGGGAGACGAGGTGGTGCCCGCCGTCGGTATCTTCAACGCGCTGCGGTGGCTACTGCCGGTGTTTCAGTTGGCGGGATGGCTGCCAAAGCAGGTCAGCAGAGAGAAGGATGAGGCCAATGGGACACCGCGTGGCAGCGTGGGCGAGGATGTCTCTGCGGAGGTGCAAGAGACGAGAAGACTTCTTCCACACTTTGAGCCCTTCTTCACACGAGAGAGCAAAGTCGTCCCAAACGGCGCCCTGCTGTATACGGTACAAACATTCCGTTTTCCCACGCCACGGGGCCCACGCAGCATCACACGTGCGCTTGTGGAGACCCCGGGAAAATATTTTTCGCCTCTGCAGGAAGAAAAGGGAGGGGGGCACTTTCTTTGCTGTTACGAGGACAAGCAGCTTCTGCGCTGCTTCACGTACGTGCAATTGGACCAACTGCGATTTGCCTGGGTAGCTGTGAAGGAGCTGCTGGAGGAACATAAGGCGGTGCAGCGAACAGATGGAACCCTCACTGGACTTGCGCGACGTGACATTAAAAAAAACAACACGAACAGCAACGAAATGGCGAATAGTGAAAGGGCGAACGGTGTTGGCGGATCAACAACAGCAACAACGGCGATGGGGGCGGATGCGGGATCATCGACAGCTGCAACCGCTCCCGCCGTCCCACCGCCGTCCATGGCGAGGAAACCGCACCCCAGCAGCAACGTCATCGTAGGCCCTACTGCAGAGGCTCGCAAAACACGGGAAGAGTTACGAGAGAAGAAGTATATGAGTGAATTGCTGAAAGAGGAGTGCGCCGCGCGGTGGCCACACACGCCTGTGCATAAGTCTGTTATTTTTTTAGTGGATGAGCAGCAGTTGGAGGCGACTGGCGGTCGCAAGGGCCGCAAAGGTCCTCGCAGTTACTTGGCGACGGTTGAACTTCCACTGCTCAACAAGAAGGGTGGTGTTGCGACGTTTAAGGGGCCTCAGTGGTGCACAGCACGAAGGGATGCAGAAAATGCAGCAGCTGAAGTAGCGCTGCGTGCCCTCCGCACGATCAAGTCCTAATTCTTCTTTCATGCGATAGCATCCATTTATTTTTCGTTGCATGTATTTGTGTAACGATATTCATATACCTGTCTCCGCGTCTGCGTTGAGCCAATTGCCCGTGTGTTCTTTTAAAAGGATGAGCACATTACCCAAGTATACATCTTCCTTTTTTTTTCCCCCTGCGTCTTCTCTCTTTGTTTCTTCTGGGGGGTATATGTGATCTGCTGGTGCAAATGGATACACGACCGACCGTGTACACACACACACATACACTCTGCTGTCCAGTGACGCCCCCAAAGAATGAAAAAGAAAAAAAAAGGAAATGATGGTTTATGGACTTGTTTAATTGCAACTTTTGTGTCTGCTTTTCCTGCCACCGTCTTTTTGTTTATCAATGGTGCGGTGTTAGCTTTGTGCGCTTCTATTTTTTC